CCTTTAGGGGGGGCCCGACAGATTTCTCTCTACTTCTCAGTGAATCCCCCCTTTTCCGAAGAAGCCCCAGACAGATCCAAGGGCCTCCACCCGACAACGCCGATGAGAAGACTTCGCCCAGATTGCTCACACACCGCAAGGTAGCTGCACTGCCCACGACATGCCTTCACGTGCGGGGCAGCTGTGCGGTTCAGACTTCCAGGTGTCTTTTCGAGATTCCTAGAATTAGGACGCCCAATACGGACACCATGACCTGAAATATGTTGCAGCGTTATAGGATGTCCGTTCTGGAGGATCTCAAAATTCAGTTTGAATGTTCTGGCTTTGCGGCCGGAAACTCTCTAATTTTGGGAACCGTCCCCAATGTCCGTCCTGCTACTGCAGATGATGGCCGCCGGAAGCAAGACAGCCACGTCGCCCTCACCCATCGCGAGCCTGTATGTATGATACAGGAAGTAAAGTAATATGATATGATCTAGTATAGTATAGTATAGTATAGTATAGTATGGTAAAATATCAATTGCGAGCCTTCAACAGAGGGCTGCATGGGTCTGTCAGATGGGTGTGGGCTTAAGGGCTCAAGAAAGCGGTGCTTGAATCCAGACATTCGCAATCTACGATTGCAGGAGTTGCCCGAAATCTTGATCCCACTGATCCTTGAACTGCAAACCCTGACATCCTAGATCAGGCGCATAAATCCATGTGCCCCCTCTGCTGAGTTGCAGCTCGCAGCTCACTGCATCTGCAACTATCTTTCATACTCCCGCTCTGTGCACTTGATCCCTCTGGGACAATTCAGCTGACTTGCAGCCAAGAAGCCGCCCTTCCTCCATCTTCGAAAGCCGCCGCGACGCTACACAGCGCAAAGCACCAGGCCCTTCTGAAGGGGACCATCCTCGGCCCTTCAATTTAGGAAGCCATGACTTCAGGTTAAGGCCAGCAAGATGCCGCCAGATCCAAATCCCAAGCCCAGGCCAAGGTGGGCTATGACTGAAGCCCCGCAGAAAGGCTGCAGTACCGGGGCTCTAGGATGTCGGCCTTGAAGCAGGCTTTTGTCTGTGGGGGGAGAGGGTTGGCAAGGTCGCGGCAGCTTTGAAGTGCTTGCCAGGGGCATTGCCAATATAGGCCGTCCACCTTGATGGAACCTTGCAAACCACCTGAGCAAAATCATAGTCTCAAGGTCACGTGGAGGGTCGGGAGGACTTACCAAGTGAGTATGTTAATAGGGGAATAGTCAAGACTAGCATATGGATTACAGGGTCTCAAGGTCAGAGTTTACAGGTTGGTGCTCAGGCGAGAGCGGGGGAGCGGGCAATGGAAGCCCCTCACCTGAAGAACCAGGAAGTGTAGGGCTTGTGAGATCAAGGTTAGCCGAAGGAGCCTGAAACATAAGCTGCCACTGCCCAGGAAGAGCATCCCGAAACAAACCCAACATTTCGCGGCCCCTTCCGTGCCTCCTGTCAAGGGTTGAAGGTAGCTTGTCATCTGGGTCCAAATGCCTTCATGCCCTAGACCAGAACACCTAGACCCCAACACCCAACCCCGAAACCAAACCCTTCCCTAACCCGCTCCTTCCCCTACTCCCTTGCGGCAAGTTTTGTAGGGGGCTGTTTGCGCCCACAGTTCCAAAGAACACCTAGCCACATGTCTCCAAACCCCCACAACCTCCCAACCCCGAACCCTTAACCTCATCCCGAAACCCAGGAACACTCAGACATGAACCCTAAATTTAGGCCCCAATCTCGACACTTTCAAACCTAAACTTTGGCCCTGAACACCTCTCTGCAATTTCACGTAATGTTCCCTAGTCGGGGAAGCGGGCATCGCATCCATGAATTCGCCAAGCCACAGCGTCCTCCTCCCCCCGCATCAAGCCTTTGCTGGTTTAGTGTCTAGAATTTAGGGTTTTGGAGGCTTCGGGTCCGGGGCTCCCGCAAAGCCAGTCAAGAGCAAGATCCACTGAAGCGAGGTATACTGAAAATTCATTCTATATTCTATACATTGTATGCTCTTCGCTGCAGCGTTTTGGGATCTCATGCGGCCGTAAAACGCTTGACTTCTCCGATGGATGAAGACAGTCTCTGTATGCCCCTCTCCTTGGGATTCTTGAGATGCTGCATAAACTGGGAAGCCCCAAATGGCGGTCGCCAATATCCTGCACTCTCTCCAGCATCTTTCCTGCCCTGTCATCCCGCAAAACAAAGCCTAAGCGCCAACTCATGTAAAGAAATCCCGATTAAAACAAGCTGCCGAGGTGGCAGAGCGCCAAAGCGTCCGAAGCGTGCTGCAAGAGCGACGGCAGTCCAATTGGAACTGGGCAGAAGGTTCTTGGTTTAAGTGTTGAACTAGGTACCGTATGAAAGGTTCTAACATCCGTTCTAAAAACCGCTAGGATTTTGCTTTGTCTACATGAAGGATTTCCCCTGCCTAGGTCTTGAGGTATATGTTTGGGATGGCATCTGGGGTTGAGGATTTAGGGTTTTCCCACCATATCAAGGAAAATGAAATCTTGTTTCTTTGGAGCGGCATGTTCCAAGCGTAGGGATACTGTACCTATTCAAGGCTTTAGGGATCACAGCTCAAGGATTAGAGTTTTTGGGGGGGACCTTCAGGAACAGGCCTACGTTCTGGGGCGTTTTGCAAGATCAGGTAGGGAAAGACGCCTCTGCTAAGATTCAACAACCCCACATAAGCCCAAACAAGCAAATGGCTGTCGTCGCTCGCAGGAAGGAATGAATGATACTACTACCCTACAGAACCTTGCCAAGCCTGAGGATAAGCCAACCACAACCTAAACCCCAAAGCCCAAACCCTACCCCGTCTCAATCTATGAGACGCTGAACCCCAAACCTTTGAACCTAGACCCTTAACCCTGGCCTGACAGCCCCAAACTCTAAACCCCCAACTCGAAGCACAATGAGATCTCAAACCTTCAACCCCAGTTTTGGGTCCCTTCTGCAAGTACCTAAAATGGGGGCGACCATTTTTTTGTGTTCGGAAACTCCCACAAGCTGTGTAGCCCGGGCCTTGGCCGGAAATTTGCAGCCTGCAGGCGCACTTATGAAGCCTGAGTCTGCCAGACATAACGCTTTTAAGGGACATGCGCGCAAGTTAGCATAATTCGGGTTTAGGGCTTAGAGTTCCCTGTCCCGCGGCTAGAAGTATTCTCCATGCTTGTATTCTCGTCACTGCTCACCTGCATCCAAGAAGGTGGCTGCTATGAAGTACACTTCAAACTACATTTCTTGCTGAGAAGCCCTTATCTTGCGTCTTTACCCGGCTCCCTGCATTTGAAGAAGAAGACTCCCAATCTGCAACCCTTTGCGACTGTTGGGTAGTTCCCAGGGATCTTTAGGGGGATCTAGCTTCTAGATCTTCCCAGGGGCTAATAAGATTTTCCATGCTTATTTATTGATCAACGTGCTCTGTCTCATGAGTTCCCCACTTGTAAACACTCAAAACCCAGCCCATGAATCTGAAGCTCACAATCCAACTAGGAGATATATAGGGGTTACATGGGGACAATGGAAAATGGAAGCTACTATAGTATATTGGGGCTATCTTGAAGAGTGACAACATAGCCAAATAGGTGAAAGGCAAGAAGGTAAAAAGCATAGCCCAAATACGTGCTTGCCGAACCCTGGTATAGGCTGACTATGCTCCGAGTGGGTGTGAGCGGAGGCACGACTACATAAAAAGCGGAAATTTACGGCCTGACTGTAGAGTAATGTGGGGGACCTGAAGAATTGCTAAAGGCAATTGGGGCACAATCCATGATTACTCTATTTTGATTGTTAGTTAGTGAGTAATGTTGCGTACTTGTTGAGGCTTTTATATCGAGCTTTACTTGCAATGCGTTCGCCCATCTAGGGCAGAAGAACTTTGTCCTTGGCTGCTGACCACAATATGCCACGGTTGAGGTATCCATGAAAAGAACTCATGTTTCAAACAATCGTGGCTATGCAGTTAAAAGGACGTGCTGCATAGGGACTGTACCGATATGCTTTCTCGCACAGGGTACCTGCATGCAATCTTCAGACGCAAACAATAGAATCAAAACCGTGAACTTTCGGGGCATGTTCCCAATAACTTTGGGCTGGCTAGAATTTGTCCAAGCCAACTGGAATACACCGAGGTGCTCCCTCTGACTGTTGCGTGAGGAAGCCCCGAGAGGCATCCATACACCAAATGTTCAAGCTCTCCCTGGGCATGGAAAACCCCTGCAAAATCCTTCAGAAGACTTCAAGAATCCCTGTGTAAACACATGTATTTCTTTCCATTTTGAGAAAGCCCCGTAAAGAGTCAGACATTGAAGCCAAATGCTCAGTGACTGGCAGACCTCCGCTTCTGCAACGTAGCACCTTAGTACATTTCATGTAGGGGCTTCTCAAACACTGTAAATTTTGAATCTGGGATTCTCCCACAATATCAGCAGGGTTCTCAGGGCACCGGAATTGGCATCTCACTGGCAATTCCCCCAACACCCCTGTCCTACACCCTGCTGAACGAAGCTGCACGATAGTGCCATGTGGCATTTGTTGATGACTTGCGTTACTTTAGCATTCTGACGTCTCCCCACAAGGCGCAACAACCGACAAACTCACCCTCTCTCCAATGTTCAACCCATAAATCTGCTGCCGGGTATGGGTTTTCCTCTTGCACTTAGCAGTCTTTTGCTGCACAGACGTTTGCAACCAGCATCGCACATCGGCAGGCCCATCAAACAGTACAAAGAACAAGGATGAAGGTGTTCAGCGACACTGTAGGAATCATCCAGTAGGGTTTATTCAAGCCTGGGCATGCTTCGTGCTCAAAATGGGAGGCTGACATACTATGTCCACACTCCGTTGTCCATGCGAAGGAACTGACTTCTCAGCGTAGCACGCTCAAATACTGCCGCCTGAAATTGGTTGAAACGGAGCAGGAGGCTTCCACACCTTTCCTACTCCGCCTTATAAGCCACAATCTACAAATGCATCACCTCGTCAGCTTACAGCTACATCGTCAAGTGTCACCTGACACTGCCGGGACACTGCTTGGTATTCTGCACCAAGCTCTGAGAAGGTGGATGTGAACCCCTCGTTGACCAGTTCTTGCAGATCTGCAGCTTTGAGGGATCCTAACAAGCGTTCCTGCGTTTCCACTTCGGCACAAGCGCTGCTCAGCAGGCCCTGATACTCCCTCATTGCATCTTCTTCCACCCGGCTCAGGATGTCGTTGTAGTAGGCATCAACTTCTTGTGTTACAAATGCCTCGTTGATCTCAAATGCGAGCATTGGTCCACCAAATAACGCAAAAACTTTCGATGCAGCCGCTGCTGCTAGCGCCGACGCAAGTGACCCCACAAGCGACACACTCGCTGGGGCCCCCCGGATCCAGTCAGAGAGAGAAAACGATCCCATGATCTCCCAGAGCATGGACAAGGCAGAGGACAGTTCCACTCGTGCAAACATGTCGTTGGCGACCATGCCCTCGAGCCTCTCCGCAATTGCTCGGCGGACGTCTGCGAGCTGAGGGCCCGACACGGTCTGTCCCCAATGAGGTAGCTCACCTCTCAGCAATGCACGGAGATGTTCCTCCTTCCTATCTTCATGCATCACGCGGAGCTCTTCGGCAATTAGCTGCACTTGCCTTGCTGCGTCCCGCGCAACTCTGTCAAGACCGCATCTGGCCCCGGCTAACGAAGCCTCATACTCCCGACGCCTGGCAAGCTGAACTTCTACTTCGCTCATCTTTGTTTCCAGGCGCCACATCACCTGGCTGATGGCACTCAAGCTTTGCTGCAAACGATAGGACTTCTTTGTACTCAAAGCCTTAGTCACCTCAAGCTGGATCTTGTCCCAGTCTGACAATGCTTGCTGTACGCTGGCCTTCCTATCCTTCATGGAAAGGCGCATTACCTTCGGGGTGCAGTAGTTCCCTGCGTCCACCTTGATGTCGTTGATCAGCTCATCGTAATCCTGAGCGTGCGGCTGCACATGGTCAACTTGGAAGATTGCCCGTCTCTATAAGACTAGGAAACCAACTAGGGTAAAAGCAAGGTCGAACAACAGGAATTCTATGTATGACTTGGGATCGGGTGGCTCCTCCTCTGCTGAGTCCTGGTCCTGAAGCACGTCACACTTGTTCGCCAGGATGAGGAGACCCTGCGAGAGTGGCGCCCAGGCAGATTTCATGAGCTGTGTAAAGAAGCGGCGGTCTGACTCGCAAAGCTTGCTATTGACATCCAGCACGTAGAGTAGCACGACGCCTTCACGAGAGTTTTCTTTGGTGTAAGTCTGGAAGGCTTCCACGTATTCCGGCTCCTGATCCAGACCCGGCAAATCTACCAGAACCACTCTGGACTTCAAGAGTTCGCAAGGCGCCCAAGCCCGTAAAGGACTTCTGGCCATGGCTAGGAACTCACTGTGCTCTGTGGCTCTACTCTTGTGAACCGCTTCCTTGGGTACCTTTTGGCACTGCACGGAACGTTCGCCATCTCGTGGAGCATAGGCTTTCTCATCACCGTAACGGGTTTCACAGATGCGCGAAGTCAGGCAGCAGCGTGCAACTGGCCAGAACATCTCACCGAGCAAAGCATTCACGATGCTGCTTTTCCCGACATTGCCTTTGCCGGCCACGATGAGGCGATCTTCCTGACCGCAGACCTCAGCGACCTTGTCCAATTCAGGACAAAGCTGGAGAGTGTCCTCCACACTGCACCTGTCATACCACGACTGAAGAACCTGAGAGGCCTTGCTGCTGAAGTCTTGCAAGGACGTCAACTTGAAGTCCAGCTGTCTCACTGCTTCAGCCGGATCCTGCAGGATAACTTCCCACTCATCGTCGGATCCTGCTGCGTCACTTGACATCCTGCCGGGAGTCGCCGCCGCCGACGCTGCCGCACTTGCCATTGCCCCTAAGCACTCTGCGGAGAATGCTCCTGGCGACCCTGTGGGTGTTGAGTAAGCTACCCTTGAGTTCAAGAACACAACCACGTTCGTTCAAAAACCAACTTCAGGCCCAAACATTTAAGGCAGTCCACACTGTCTATACTGCACCGCGCATCTCTCAGGTTCCAACACGATGCAGGAAGAAGCACTGCAAAAGGCCTCCTGCAGGCAGTGAGGGCAGAGACCGCCATTGTACTTTCCGTCGCAACACATCTGCAGCCACTAGCAGCCCTTTTAGTATCTTCAAGTTGCGTCCACTTGGTCATGACTAGCCTTCCTTCTGTGCTCAAGAATTGCTCTGCAAGAAGATGCACTCCACTGCAATGCGAACTCAAGCAACTCCAGTAAAGTACCTCCGGTAAAGTACCTACATGTCAAACCCTCAGGACCTTCGCAACCTAGAACTATACCGCCCTCTCTCAGCAAAGGAGCAGCACAACCATTAAGCAGTCGAGCGCTTGCAAAATGACGTCTCAGTACACAAAATGTATAGCAATCATACGAACTGCTTGGGATAATGCCCTGCTGAAAGTTCTCATGCTAGATAGGAAATCATAATGCTTCGAAAGGGAAAAGAAGCAGTCAAGATGGCAACCAACCAACCAAGATCCTCTTTAGACTATCTTGTTATGTTACACACTAGTGTTGTCTTTGGTAGTAAGTATAAGAGACTATAGGATGTTACCCGTTCATAAACATATGGTCCTTAAGGGATCCCACTATGTTCCCCATGCAATCCGCATAGAAGCCGGTATGTCAATTCTAGAAACCTACACAACCCGTCATGGCACATGTAAAGGTTTACTTGTGCCCTTTCTTTGGGCTCCTTGTCAGATAATTATGTGTTATGCGTATTCTACAACAACGAAACTCATTTTTGCCAAGGCTGATTCTAAACTAAGCTCAGACCCTACAGCAAGTAAGGTCAGAAGCACAAGGCATATATTCTATGAAATCATAAGGGTTCACAGAGAACTTCATGTACAATTATTTGGGCAACTTCGTCCTACGCGCTAAACCCTTCACCCTGAACCCTACATCCTAAGCCCTACATCCTAAACCCTAAATTCTAAACCATAAACCCTAAATCCTAAACCCTAAATTCTAAACCATACACCCTCAATCCTAAAACCTAAATCCTAAACCCTAAACCCTAAATCCTAAAACCCAAATCCTCAAACCTAAATCCCAAACCCCAAACCTATAGTTCAGCGAAGTCCAGCGCCCCCAAAGCTTCACACACGTCAACTACAAGGGAGCCTTCTGAGCTGCTCGCCCGGCCCTGACATCCAACAACCTCACCGCTTAGGGTAGGCCTTAATTGGGACGGGCCTCCTTCAGTAAAGGGTTTAGGGGTTTAGGGCCTAGGGCTTAGGGTTTAGGATTCTGGGTTTAGGATGTAGAGTTTAGGGTCAGGGTTTAGGGTTTAGGATTCTGGGTTTAGGATTTACAGTTTAGGGTCAGGGTTTAGGGTTTAGGATTCTGGGTTTAGGATTTACAGTTTAGGGTCAGGGTTTAGGGTACAGGATTTAGGATTTAGGATCTAGGGTTTAGGTTTCAGTGTTTAGGATTTAGGATTTAGGGGGTTAGGGTTCATCAAGCTATGGCTGATTGAGGACCTCTACAAACTCGATTTTGAATGAGCTGACAAGTACGGTGCCGTTGAAGCCTTAAGTTTTCGAGATGGTGTTCACAATTAAGGATCTAGGGCTCAATGCTTGCTTGGAATTCAAGGTCTTGCGCCAGTCTGGGATCCATGGGGTGTACAGTGTACACAAGTCAGTATAACATAGGAACCTCGAAGAAAGAATAACTTATTCAGGCCCATGTGAACACACATCCCTAAACCCTAAACCCGAAACCCCAAACCTAGACCCTAAATAGTATTTTTTCCAAACCAGAAGGTGCCACGCTAGAGCGGGGATTCTCAAAACTTTGATGCTCCCCAAGGCTAGTCCTGCTCGATTGCTATGCGACCCCAAGTCCTGAAAGTACAACACCTGGGGTTTAGGGTTTAGGGTGGACCGAAAACCCTTCAAGCCTCAACCCTTGCAACCAAGAACCTCAAGGACACAAACCCCAAAAGACCAAAAAGTGAAACCCTGAAACCCTCAAGCCGAAGCCCGAAAACTAAACAGTTCAAGTTTGACGGTTCGTAGGGAATAAGGGAACATAGTCTCCATTTAATCCCTACACAGTGTATTATCCCCTTATTCCCTACTAACCCCTAGTAAGATGAAGCATCCCCGGCTGTCAAGCCTCTTTGTGACGTCACCAGAGAAGACTCACCGAATCAGCTGACAGACGCAACTCCTGAGAGTTTCAGGCCTTGTGTTTTGGGGGTTCCGGTGTAGGTCTGGCGATGAGTCATGTGGCTTTGGGTTTAGACCTTTAGGGTGTAGGATGTTGGATTCAGGGTTTAAGGTGGTTTAGGGCTTAGGGGGTTGAGGATTCGGGGTTTGGGGCTCGGCGCTAAGTGGAAGACAGTGCAAGATGCAACGCTCCAACCCCTGGTGTACATGGCGAGTCGTTCAGCCTTTCCACCACCAGGATGCCAAGGTCCTCCTCTTGTTACCAAAAACTCGTAGTTGCCATGTTCTTTTCCATTCTCCCGAAATAGCCGTACATAGCTCCTATATAGTCCCTATAGAACCCCTATCCTCAAACCCTGACAGCAATGACTCGTAGGAAATGCTCATGACTTCGAGCTCAGACTCTGCTGCGGCAAGTAAGGGATGGACATTGGAGCCCAACACTCCCACCCGTGCCTTATACAATCTCTATAAACTTTCTCACAACCCCGCCGAAATCCTGACACAAGCTAGCATAATCGCTCGTAAGCCCCAGTAGACTTCTCGCAGCTTCTCGCATAATGGGACAGAAATCACGGCGTGCGCTGTCCGTTCCCCGTGCAAGCTCCACAACTGGACTTGAAAGCTCCTTCAAGAATCCCAAAACTTTGAACCTTGAAAGCCAACGCATGTTTTTCCTGCGCTGTTGCTAAGCCAGTGGTCCTTGTTCTTATGTGCACCTCTGGATACAACGTCAATGCGCACGGAGACGAAAGTCGACACCGACCTGAGCACCATATTCTGGATTTGTAGCTTGGCATTCAGGGCTTTGCACACATGACGCGCTTCCGGGCTTGTAGAATTTTCCGCGCTCAGGGATGTTGGAATTCTGGTTGTCAAGATTCATGGTTTTTGCAATCTCCGCGCTTCAGCAATAATGGGGCATACGGGACTTCGGGGCGTCACGATTTAAGGGATCAACAGCTTACGGAATCAGACTTGCACAGTATAGGGTCACGGAGGTTAGCATTTCATGATGATACTGCATGTATTTGTTAACTTTCGGGGGACTGAGGTTTCTGGATGCTGTGAGGATTCGAGTGCAAGTTCTCATAGCGCCAGTGTGTGGGTGGAGGGTCCTGGCTAAAAAGATTCAGGGTCCAAGTCTCCAGGAGGAGATTTTCCCGGCAGGCAATCGCCAAAACAGGTTTCGTTGCAAATCACCGGAAGGCGACTTGCCTTTTCTGTTGGGATTTGGCAGTGGCTCTCAGCATTCCTCGCCACGTATCCTATGGCAAAATTAGGTAGACAAGGAATCCAATACCACAAAATGTTGGTAGTTATTGAGGCTACGTAGTAGCTCAATTCACAAGCACGCACTCAGTTGTTGTTTGGTGCAACTACTTCCCAGACTCCATTTTCGCGCATGCACCGAGATGGCCCACTTCCAGCAGAACTTTCACCACCACCCAGCAGCGGCTTTGCGTGAATTGAAGTGAAACCCCTGCGCTCTAAATCCTAGACCCGAAACCCGAAACCCTGAACCCAGACCCGAAACCCTAAACCGCATGAGCTGCTGAACATATTGGATCCTTCAATCTGCTAGCCAGGGAGTGTAGGACATTCATCTCTTACCTGAGGCTATTAATCCTCCTCCTTGCTGCTTTTGTGGGTGGCAGCCAGACCACGACTCTGCACCCTCTGACCCTAGTTCCCAAACCTCGCCCGAACTCATGGCGAATAAGAACCAAAAAACGTGCAACTCTATGATGTTATGCCCATAGAACCCTGCGTGCGCCTACTATCATTGAGAACCCGACTTACCCCAAACCGTAAGCCCTGCCCGGGAGCCCTTGCTTGACAAGAAGACTGAGACATAGGCTGTCGCAGATTGGAGCCTTCTCAGAGTGCTGCGAAACTTCAGGAATGAATTGGTACTACCCAGTAAGGACGACGCCTCTTTCGCCACGCAGAAGAATATAAAAGGGAACCGCAAGAGTTTCAGTTGTGGGTTTGGAATTCACAGGCTGTGTTTGCTGTAGTTCCCAAAGGTTTGCAGTTGTTTATTTCAGCTTTAGGGGTTATGGATACTTCAAGGCAGCAGGGAGGCGAGTCTAAAGAACTCATGAATTATAGTCCCCCTTAAGTAGATAGAATATAGGGTATATGGGGATCTTGTTATAGTATACCCAAAGCCATATTCTATCTACTTAAGGGGGACTATAACCGCACCCACCAGTGTTCACCAAATTCCCCTGCAGACGGGCAAAGGCCAATATTATATCGAGGTATAGGGCCACGGTGGATTCCCTCCAAGGCAGGCTGTGAGCAAGCGCTTTATGATATGGTGTTGCAAATTGTCAATGTGGTATAATGGCAAATCAACGATTGTTTTCAATGACCCAGATTCCCCTCTAGAAGACCTACGAGTATGATCCCCCATCCGAACCTTGAACAATCCCTAGGAGATGCTTCTCATGAACTGGCCTTGTTAGGCTCACATAAGCCCCCTTCAACTCGTAAGCGACTCATGCTCTGGCAAGAACTGGCCAGGACAGAGATGCATGTTGAGTTGTAAAGCCTATATACATCTACACCCAAAATCAGATATAGCCCGAACTGGTTCTGAGTCCCTTGATCTTTCAAGCCTGTGTCCAAGCACTAAGAACT